GTGTATAAACCCGAAAGCAGGGTGCAAGCACTCTCACCCCATACACCGTGGGGTCTGCACGTGCTACGGAAGACACGTATAAGAAAGAGAAGAGACAGCCGGAAAGATGGCTGAGGAGCAGTATGCAGCCGAGGAGGAGGCGTGTTCGCCGAAACACCTCGAACAGGCAAAGCATAGGCTAGCGGTCATGGAGGCTGAGACGCGAGAGGAACGTGGCAGAATCGCCAAGTTGGTGGCGGCCTCTCTGGAACGGCAAGTGGTCCGAGATGCCGACGGAGGCGCTCACGTGCAAGCTACTACTGCAGCCCGCTTCGGGGGCAACCGAGCTCGGGACAACCCAACGGCTGTAGGGGGAGCCCCGACGTCGGGGATGCCCTAAGAATTCCCGAGCAAAGCCCCGACGGTGGAGAAGGAGACACTGAAGCCGGCGGCGAAAGAGTCGGCGGAGAAAGAAGGTAAACCCCAGTGGGATCCCGACGATGGGAAGTATACCCCCACCCGCTCTGAGTTGGTTGCTGGCCATGGCCCGTTGAGCGGCCTATTTCACAGTCGCGTGGTGACCAGTGGGCAAGTGGAGCCTTACGGGTGGGCATGGTGCGTGGCCTGCGAGGTCCCCACCCGACACTCGGTTGCACACCATGAGGAACTCCACGAGGAGACTGGGGTGAACTACTATTGCCCGAGGCGGGGATGCCCCTACGAGGTCCCCGTGTCGGCGCCGGGGCAACTAAACAGCCACCTAACAGTGGAAGAACTGGATGCGAACGCGGTGGGTGAAAGCGAGAGGCCGGGTCACGGCCTACGTCGGAGGCGACTCGGGATATCGCCTCGGCCGGAGCAGCCTTAATTACCGGAGGTACTCCGGTGGGACAGCCACTCGCCAGCGGGCGGTCGCCTTCCGCGTAGGTGAAGATGGAGTCGGAAGGCGGACGGGATTCAGCGATTGGACGCCAGCCGATGGGTTCGAGCGGCGAAATCCGAACCTTCGCCAATGGAAAGCTGCCGCAAGGAGACGGTAACCAAGCGGCGAGCTGCGACGGGAAAACTGGCTGCTAGCAGTCAGCGGCAGCCCACGCCTTCCTCTGTACCCGAGGTTGCCGGGGAGGGAGCCCCGCGGACGACTAGCAGAGGAGGAACCAAAGAGGCAGCAGCCGCGGGTTCACAGCCTCTCACAGTCGCAGGTTCGCGGCCTCCCGCGGCCGCAGGTTCGCGGCCTCACGCATCCGCTGAAGAAGGCCGGTGCGTGACAGCCACGGGAGCTGAAGGCAGGGCTCGCTGCCCGACACCAAGCTCAGACGGGGAGCCTGGTCCGGGAGTAAGCAGTCCCCAGGCAGAGCGCATGTCCTGGGAGGATGAGGCGAGTCTCGGCGCAGCAGTCATGCCTGCCGCTTAAGAGACTGGAGACTGGCTGACGGATGACGAGCTGCAGGCAGAAGCCGACAGCATTCGATCGGATTTGGAGGCAGCAGCGGGGGAGCGCGCCAGTCTAGGCGTGCGGGCAAGCAGCGAGACATCAGAGGTCTCGCGGCCACCGCGGTTGCTCGGCGAACTACTATAGGCACAAATTTCGGGACCGAGTGCCTGGCCCCGAGGTGGTGTTAGCCGCTGCACCTTCCGTGTAGGGATACCTGCCCGTGATGCCCAACGAGGAGGAATTGCGCGGCCTCGCTCAAGCAGATAGCGAGCCTCACTCACTGCCTCTATTTGACGAGACACAGCAGGAGGCTCTCCAGGAGGCAGCAAGGCGCAAATAAGCGCCACTATAGCCCCGATAGGGCCTGAGTCCGGGTCGCGGCACTATGCCGCCAGAGAATCTCCTTGTTGCCAGTTGGCCTTTGTGTATTGGATCCTCGGTGGTCGAGTGACCGGGTCAGTGAGGTACGCGGGTACGAAAGAAGCGGGTGCGCGACATCATGGTATGTTTTGCGCGTGTTATGGTTGCCCTTAGTGGTGTTACCATTGTTGGGGGGAAATATTGTATCGCGGGGTTTCGTTTTTTTGTCTAAATAACTATATAGCAAACGGGCAGATGAGGGGGTGCGCGCGGGTATGACCGACTTTGCCAGTCATGACTACGGGAAATAGGTTAAGTAGTGCTCCCAAGAGGTAGCACAAGTTTGAGGAGGGGGTAGTGTGGCGAAGTCGATCCTGTCCGTGTGTTGCCCGTCATCTCCTTGTACTATCGTCAACGTTACAGTTATACATTCATTGCGATCATGCAGGAATTAATGTTATAGGGGGCGCGAGCAAGAGAGCGTGTGCGCGCATAACATTGTGACGTCAGGCGAGCGTGCTCTCGCTCTTGACGGCCAACAGTAGAAGAGGGCGGACGTGTTATCAGCACGGTCTCCACTTTGTAGTGCTAATTATAGGCCGAATGGCTAGGACGTTTGTAATTGTTGTGTAAGCGAAGAGAGCATCGTCGCGCGCGCATTGAGAGCGGAGTGAATCTCCAACGCGGTGAGATGCAGAGGTAGAGTAAGAGTGGCGACGTGTTGTGCGCCAGCACCCCGCATAGTACTGGTAGGTAAGAGTGGATCGTTGCTGTGCCTGGCGACCACCCTGCCGGGTAGTGAGTAGTGTGTTAATAAAAGTGTTGTTTTGCACGTCTCTTGTTGCTGTTCGTTTCGTCCGCGAGTCCTGGTAGAATCTGGGTGGGAGACGTAACTTCCCGAGGAGAACTTCGGCCACGCCCGAACCTAGTATACGATAACGGATAGAGGGCAAGACGGTGGAGAAGACGGCAAAAAACGTTACACTATGATAGCCTGCGCTACATGGGTTTGTCTACTCGTCTGAACTAAATCCTTTGCGAAGTATCTATATATATAGCTCTGGAAAATTGCCGGCGAAAATTGTGTAAATAGTAGCGTTTCATGTGCCGAGTAAATTGCAGTGACTATCAAAAGATTTCACCGTCAACATTTACATAGTGGGAGGTTAGTTTTGTCGGAAGAGAAATTCAAAGCATAGGCGATGTGAGTCGACTCACGGAGTAAATGTCATATATATTAACCAGCGATCGATAGTTAAAACTCCTAGCGCTGCATTGAGCATGACTCTTTTATTATTTACCCAAAAATTCCGACTGCTGGAGGCCCATAACAACACGTGCAAACAATAAAAGACGAGCTTTCTTTATCAACAAATGCGATGTTAAATGACTGCTTGCCTACTCACTTTACACCTGAACCACGTTTGAACAAATGCTCAAATAACGCGCTGTTTAATGTGATAATGATAAAATTAATAATGGGTAAAATGCAAGTTTTCGTTTTCATTTGCCCGTTATACGAGATGTTGTCATGTTATCTTCTAGATATACTAGCCGGTTGAATTGCCCCATTGAGTGTAACGAAAGAGCTTCTGTGTGTGTGTGTGTGTGTGTGTGTGTGTGTGTGCGTGCGTGCGTGCGTGCGTGTGTGTGTGCGTGCGTGCGTGCGTGCGTGCGTGCGCGCGCGCGTGTGCGTGTGTGCGTGCGTGCGTGCTTGTGTGTGTGTGTGTGTGTGTGAGAGAGAGAGAAGGAGAAAAGTTTCTCCTGTGAAGACCGGAGAAGCAATCGTACATTTATCTTCATCGGACAAGGTCGGTTGAGCTGCTCAGCTTCTTTGTTATGGATGTAAAAGTTTATGCGAGTGTGGTTGCGCGTAATAGGTGTTACAGAAATGTTAGTATGAAGAGCAGCCTCAATGTCTCTGCGTTGTTATATACTTTCTAACAAACTGAGCTATCTCTTCTTAGTGTCATACTGGCTGATGTGGAAGATTCTGATTCTCAAAGCTTCCGCAGCCGCTCTTCGCAATGACGGCGGTTAGGGTCCAGAGATGACTAGGTCAACAGTTGAACTGTAGCTTGGACTGGTGTTGTAACTCACTGGCGTGCTATGATTAGTGTAGAACTGTATCGGTGTTTGGGTAATATTATCTGTATTATACAAGTAAGGCAAATTCTTTATAGACATACAGAAAACATGAAAAGTAAGATTGGCCTTGCTGAAAAAATTGTGCCATTCTGCCAAGTGATGTCACAATGATGACCCCGTGATGTGAGTTTCCACTGCCTCGTGATGTCGGAACTTTATTTCGTATGAATAGTGTGTATCTTGCGTATGCGAGTGACATAACGGGCTCGCCATTAGTTTGTTTTGCTTGTCTCAAGAAAGGAATCGGATATAATATATTCTTTTTAGGCTTGACATGGGTTTCTATTGCAGACGTGACGTCGTCCGATTCTGCCGGCGGATAAACGAATGTAATAAAAGATGTCCTATACGTTTCAGCCTGCGCAGTGCATTGTGAACTGTCGCTTCTGCTTATTGTCATTGCAGCAAGAAGCATCGACGAATAGTTTACTATGTATATAATGTGCATATATAACTATACGTATCCAACGTAGCCAGCGTTAATGGATAGCTACAGCGTCATATCGTGGATTAAATGTCGACACGGTGGGTTAAATGGTGTGGCGGGGTGCAATAAGTACGGCATAGAAAAACGAATTTGTCACCAGTGTATATACAAGTTACAGCCGAGAGAATGATGTCCGACTTAATAAACTTTAATAAATTTCATAAACAAATTCATAAATTTTGAAATTTTTTGTTAATTTTGTATGTTTAAGAGAACGCAAAACTACTTAACTTGGCGAGCTAATAGCGGATGGGCTAGAGTAGTGAGGTTTGACAAGACGTGAAGCTCTATTATATTAAATTGATGACGCCCATTAGTCAAGCGCCCGGCCTTCAGCCGCGACCCTGATCTGGCGACAATATATCTGTTTAACTTGCTCGAGGGGTTTGCTTGGATACTTGATGACACATTTTCTCAGATTAGTTGCTGCCAGAAAGGGTTCGCGCTGCTGTACGTGTTGTTCAAGTTGTTAGTGTCATGGCCGAAGATAAGAGGAATGTCAGGGTCAAGCGAGATGCGCACCGCATCGGAGAAAAAAATAGAACACTAATCCTCCAAAGCTATAATAAGTAGGGTGTAATTAGTGTCGGCTCACTGTGGATCACAGACCATGATTCTTATAGACGGTATAGCCTGTGTTAGCATGGCCGCGATCGCGTAGCTGAGACAACTATAGTCTATTACTTCACAATCGCGAGGCAGGGGAGAACAGAAGCAAATGGTCACGTAGGTGGAAACAATACTCGCCGAGCATGGCGCGAGCATGACAATTGGTTGAACGGGCCGATATAAATAAATAAATAATTAAACAAATAAATAAATAAATAAATAAATAAATAAATAAATAAATAAATAAATAAATAAATAAATAAATAAACAAACAAATAAATAAATAAATAAATAAATAAATAAATAAATAAATAAATAAATAAATAAATAAATAAATAAATAAATAAATAAATAAATAAATAAATAAATACATACATATATTTAAATACGTATATAGGTATGTATATGGTATAATGTTGGTGTATAATTTGTCGGACTTACCGAAACACCGTTAAAGGAAATATTGCCCAAATAGTGCATATAGAGCTGGCGTAGATCTGCACTTTCGTACGTGAAGCTTTCAATTCCTTTGCTAGAATTTTGCCGCTTCAGATATTGACTGGTGTTGTGGAATGCAATCGCCATTGCCCACATGCTATAACACAGCAAAAAAAAACATATGCCAGAGTTATCAACATTACTTAACAATTAAACAACGCAGCGTTTGTGCTGATGAAGCGAGCCTCCTATATCTCCAAGAGCTTATAATACATACGCTTATAATAAGGTATTAGTCAGGTGCTAATATCGCGAGGGAAAATATAACGTGTTTGTACAAGTATGTATATATTTGCATTACGCACAGCTGTAATAAGTGAACGTGAACGTGAATATTTCTTACTAAGGTTTTGTTCGCGGCGTTACTGAATCGCTTACCTGTCGTACGTGAGCGGCCAGTCACCTTTCGCTCCTAACGTGTCATTGTAGTTGACATACTCGTCATAAGCCGCAATAGTCTCCTTCACAGTCTACGAAAAACGGTTATTCAACTGATATATTACTGATGAATCACTGATATATTAACTGATGAATCACTGATGCGGCCTAATTACGATACTAAAACAACCTAATGCTGCGTAGTTACGATAGACACACTATAGCTATACGCTACACGATATCGTGCTGTCCGTATAATTATACGCCAACAGATAAAAACTACACTAGATAAGTGCAAACCAATGGAAATCTATATGCGTATATTTCCTTTCATGTCTTATTCTGTGATATCTCTGTATGGGCCAGATGCAGATTAGCTGTAACACAGGCACTTGGAGCGTTTCAATAAACAATATAATGCTAATAATTGCCGATAATTTTCTGTAAATGCCTTCCAAATGCTATATATATATATATAGAGGAAGAGAGAATATATATATATATATATATATACTATAATAAAAGTGTAAATGTGCAGCGGTGTGCGTGCGGTATACCTATGTGTTGCAGTGGAGCACTTGAACGGCATTTAGAGGAAATTATCGGCAATAATAGGCGAAAGAGAGTAGAGAAACATTAAGACTTTCGTAGTAAATACATTTCGTGTTTATTAAGTATTATTTTGTTTATTGAAACGCTCCAAGTACCTGTGAGCTGTAACGAGCCTGGGGCCATCCTATTCTCACCATTCCGTTGATCGTTTGATGTGAAATAGGATCGACGGCCAGACCCTGTGTGGAAATATAGTTCTCGGCGACTCTACCTAGCTGGCTGCTCGTGCAGTTGATTGAAGAGTCCGGAGTCATCCACCATTCACTGTTATACCAACCGACTAGAAACCAGACGTACTTGGGTCCGTACAAACCCAGCTTGTATGCCTGTAGGGCATAGAAAAAATTATCCATGTAGAGATTATATATGAGATTAAATATGTTGATATATGATATTAATAAATTAATATGAGATGATATAAAGATATATATGAGACTATATATTTATATATATATATATATATATATATATATAAGGTATAAGCGCAGCACACCATCATTAGAATATGCCTCTAACTGGCTGAAATGGAGGAAAAGGAATGGAGGAATGGCTGAAATATATAGAAAATTTGCTGTCAGTATTGTAGGAAATAAGAACTGCGCTTTCATAAGAGCTTACTATTTTTGCGATAAAACTAGGCACCTACAATTGTAACAATAGGTTACCCAATTACGGGTAGCTCTACGGTGATAATGTAGGGAAGCTGGCGATGGATAAAAAGTGCCGAGTTACAAAAAATCCTGTTGTATGATATTTGACTACAAAAATTGGAGGTACTTTAAAAATCTCTCGCGTGCGTTGTATCCATGTGTGTGTGTGGTGGGGGGAGTGTATGTGGGCGCGGTCGTGCGTGCGTGTGTGTGTGGGCACAAAACATGTGTGTATCACTAAACATATAAAGTGAACAATAGAAGTGTGTTCGCGCCATTTGCACATATAACATCTTCAAATTCTATTTAATTACTGTGTGCTACGGTTCTCCCTAATCCTTCGTCAACATTTTGGCAAAACTATACCTATCGGAACTACTTCGACACTATTGCATGATGGGGTGCTCAGTAATGTGTTCACCCAACCCGTATATATATATATATATCCAGAGAGACATGATACAAGATTGCGTGGCACAGCTTTGCTGTTGATCCTAAGCGCTGCGCGCGGATGAGACGCGCAGTTCCTCGGGATATGCGCACGCGACCATATGTTAAAGTATGAAGCGCTGTCTGCAGTGGAGACGTGCGCCAAATTCGAGGCCCAGCGCACGTCTCCACAGCGGTCAGCGGATGGTCTGTAGTTTTAGAAGATGACAATGATTATATATGGACGATATTCTAGGAATTGGATATTATAAAACAGTAACAAAAATCGCTCAGTCGTGCTCCAGATTAGCTGAATCAAAAAGATTAGAATTTAATATGAACAAAACAAATACTATGGTTATAAAATTCACCAACAAAGAAAGGATAGAGAAGGAGATAATAATAGGCAACCAAGTAATCAAAAAATGCACCAAATATTCATACCTAGGGGATTTAATTAATGATATAGGAGGTTATAACGATATGATAAGAGTCCGAACTGAAAAATGTAGGTTTATGATGAGGAATATATTATCATGGGCAGAAAAGAAAAATTATGGAAATCATATTATAGAAGCAAGAGTGAAATTACACAAATGCACAGTTTTACCGTCTTTCCTAAATAACAGTGAAACATGGACTTAAGGAAGAAGTAAAAATGTTGGAGGATTTCCAAAATGAGTGCTTGCGCAAAATAATAATCACGCAGAAAACGCAGAAAAATCTACCGAAATGCATTGAAAGACGATGAAAACTCCATGGAAAGATAGGGAAAAAATCAGTAAAACTAACATATAGTTTCTATACGTAAATCGTGGTAAATACATTAAAAACGCATTATTTTATTGAAAATCCCCATATTTACTTATAAAACATCCAAGAGATGGCGCTATGGCATGTAAACATTGCAAAATGCATCGGCCTAGACTGGTACCCGGTCGACAGCTCCACACGCTACACTAACAGCGTCAGTGTAGCGAAGGATACTTGCCAGAGTAAAGGTGGCGAACGGCCGGTACCAGTCTAGCATCGGCTGGACATTTCATTATTTACGAAAAGTAAACACAGTAGGTTGAGGAACTGGTCACGTCGGTGACGCCCTATTCATGCCCATCAACGAAGAAGGCGGGGCTTATTCTGATTACGGAGATGCAAAAAAATCAACAGAAGTGTTACAATACTGATACACGTACTGTATTTAGGGTTATGTTAGAACACCATGCTTTATTATCGAGCACCAGGTGGGATACAGGTATAAGCACTCACGAGGTAAGAAGAGGCCTACTGCCGCATGGCAGTGCCTTATATATGCAAGCCTCCTGTAGCGACAGGACTTTAGCGCAACATTTACTGTAATGAGTACGCGCGCGCGCGACGCTAGGTATAATGCGTTGGCGCTGCTGTCGCAGAAGAAAGGATACGTTTT